GTCCCCAGTGCTTGGCACCCCTCTTCCAGAACATCTCTTCCGATTTATTCAATAGCTATCAAGATGCTGAGGACACAATTGAAACCAGGACAAACCTGTCAGTCAACAGCGATAACCAAGTGTTGTCAGGGCTACACGGCAGAGTGCACCCAGGGGTCTGGGGAATCCCAGAGAGGATGCTTTGTTTACTTGACTGAGCTGCTCTGAGCCTAGCCATACTGGGCTGCAGCAGTCACCAAGTCAGCCCAGCTCTTGAGGGGCCCAAGTTGAGAATGACAGGCCTCTCATCTGGTTTCTCCAATGCAGGTTTCAACCGCATTGGAGGTGGTAGCTACAACCAGAACCGCTGGGGTAACAATAGCCGGGATAACAACAACTCCAACAACCGAGGCAGCTACAATCGAGCTCCCCAACAGCAACCACCCCCTCAGCAGCCACCGCCACCACAGCCACCACCACAGCAGCCACCGCCACCACCCAGTTACAGCCCAGCTCGAAACCCACCAGGGATCGGCAGCTACAGCAAGAACAGCAACATCCCTGGCTCGAGTGTCAGTACCAGCACCCCCACTGTCAGCAGCTACAGCCCTCCACAGGTGAGAGGAGGTGGGATCAGGGAAATTTCCAACACCTGCTTCAGCCCGTCTCCACTCCTACCTGCCCTTCTTTCTCCCAGACAGTGCTTTTGACGAGGATGGTCCCTCGCCATCTCCAGGTTCATCCAGCAAGTGTATTTCTCTTGGCTGTGTCACTGGCTCACTGAATCCCCAAGAAAGCACTCAGAGTTGCCCCTTGCCCAGGCTGGAAGGGCTGATTCTGTTGTCTTCAGGATGTGGAGACAGGCCCTAAGGTTGATGAGGACTTGGCCTCTGCTCTGAGACCTTCAAACAGAGCAGCTCCAGACTCAGTTCCAGTTCTCTGAAAGCCAGTGCTCGGACTCTGGAATGCACAGGCCCTTGTCAACCAGAGTATGTCTCCTTTTATTGTGCAGCTGTTTCCTGAATACCTTTCACATGCCAGGCCTGGGAACAGCTGCCAAGAGACAGATGAATGGTTCCCCACTCCTGGTCTAACAAGAATATTTTCTAGAACAGTAGTTGAGCAGGCGCAGATTCAGGCCCCACCCTAAAACATCCTAGTTTTGTGACCTTGGACTGCCTTACCTCTCTGGACCTCCTTTTCTCATAAAGGACTATAGTTGTTAATAGAATTCACATCCAAGGCTTGTTGTGGGAGATGGTTGGTGGCATCATAGCTTCATGGAACCACAGATCTGGGGTCAAGTCCTGGCTCTCTGCCACTTGGGCCCAATCAGTGATTTAACCTCCCTGAGTCTCTGCTTCCTTCTCAATAAAACGAGGCTGACAGAGTACACCTCTCAGAGCTGGTGGGGGGACTGGGTTAGTTAATGATACAGCCTGGACATGGGAAGCACTTAGGAAATTACCACTACTATTTTTTCTTTTCTTTTTTATATGAATAAGCTCTTTTTTTTTTATTTTTTTGTTAATCCTCACCATAGGATATTTTTCCATTGACTCTTAGAGAGAGTGGAAGCAGAGAGAGAGAGAGAGAGAGAGAGAGAGAGAGAGAGAGAGAGAGAGACACATCAATGTGAGAGAGACACATCAAATGGTTGCCTCCCCACACACACTCTGACCAGGGCGGAAGATTGAGCCTGTAACCAAGGTACGTGCCCTTGACCAGAACTGAACCCAGGAACCTTCCATCTGCGGGCCAATGCTCTATCCACTGAGCCAAACCTGCTAGGGCACCACTACTCTTTTTCTCAGTAACTCCTCCCATAATGACTCTCAGAATTTACTGAGTACCCAGTGGTTTGTGTTCACATGCTTATTGAATACAGAATAAGATAATTGAATAGTTCTGTTGTAATTTTTGTTTTTTGGGGGGGGGGAACCCTGGGATTTCAAGAGCTGCCTTGTACTTAACTCCCCAGGGTCTGGGAGTCCATAACACCTCTGTATCCTACCCTGCCTTTCCTGCCATGTTGCTAACCCACCTCCCCCTCAGGCCTCCACCTCCACCTGGGAAGTTCCTTTGTGGGCCCACTGCTTACAGAAGTCTTCCCTTCATCCCAGCTGAACTGGCTATTTCACAGAGCCCTGGTTTTTCCCCCCCACTTTCCAGCCGAGTTACAGCCAGCCACCCTACAACCAGGGAGGTTACAGCCAGGCCTATACAGCCCCACCACCTCCACCTCCACCACCACCTGCCTACAACTATGGGAGCTACGGCGGCTACACCCCGGCCCCCTACACCCCACCACCACCCCCTACTGCACAGACCTACCCTCAGCCCAGCTATAACCAGTATCAGCAGGTAGGTATCGAATGGGGACACGGGTTAGGGAGGCTGGGGGCAATGGAATGGAGTGACTCTCAGGGTCCCCTTGCGGTGTGTATTCCCAGACTTGAGTCCTTGCTTATCCCATGAAGATGAGCAGCCTGCCAGGAATTCACCTGATGCCCTAGCAGTAGTAGTGCCCTCGCAGTACACTTCTGTACTGGCTGCTGAACAGCTGGTATCCTAGCTCCTCTCCCCAGTGCAGCAAGGAAAGGGTATAGCAGTGGCCTCCAGATCCTGCCTCACCATAGCCAGTGTCCGTTCCAGTGGTTGGTAATGGGCCACCATACCCGTGATTGAGTATTTTGAATATGGTCCTTAACCTGTACCTGAAAAGGGCCTTAGGTTGGCAAGCCAGGAGACCTGGGCTGCAGTCCCTCGCTGCCCACCCATGTGGCATCAGGTCAGTCCCTTGTCCTCCCTGGGTGCCTTGATTTCTCTGTCAGGGGACCATGTGTCAGCCGTTGTCACTGCACCCATCTCTACCCAGGGTGAAAGTGGGGTGAGGGGAGGAGCCAAATGGAGGTCTAGATGAGAGACAACTCTGTACTTTTGGTTTCTCCCTAGTATGCTCAACAGTGGAACCAGTACTATCAGAACCAGGGCCAGTGGCCGCCATACTACGGGAACTACGACTACGGGAGCTACGCCGGGAACACACAGGGGGGCACAAGCACTCAGTAGCCAGTGTACCCCGGAGGCCCTACCGGCTTCCTCTACCAGCGCCCGCCACGGCCCCTCATCTGCCCCCACCGGGTCCTGTGGTGCTGGGGGACAGGTCATCCCAGGGCTGCCTCCCTCCAGCCCACTGCCTCCCCTCTGAGGGGCTTCTTCAACCACAGGGCTGGGCATTTTTCTCTGGTTTCAAACAGACAACAATGACCTTTTATTTTCTCTTTCTCTCCCCACCTTCTCCCTCTTCCTCCTCTTCTTCCCGTCCTCCTTCTTGACTAAATACACCCCCTTCCTTGGTCATGCAGTGATGCTATAATGACTGAGGGGAGGGCCCCTTTCTGTCCATTCTTCCCAGCCCTGCTCCAGACCCTCAGCTTCCCAGACCCTCATGCAGTTGGTTGTAAATTCTTCCAGAAGCTGTTTTACTGTCTACTTTTCAGGATTTAAAAAAAAAAATCAAAAAATTAAAAAAAAAAGTTTAAAAAGCAAAAAAAACAAAATAGGAGGGAGGAAGCAGTGACAGATATTTTTTTGGTAATTATGCTTTTTTTAATTTTTAGAATTTGTCTGTTTTTACTGTGGGTTGGCTGTTGATACTTCATCAGGATAACCATTTCTTTGCTGAGTTCAGGCAACCAATGAAGAACCACACCCTCAAAACAAAACCACAAAATCAACTTTAACCTAACTTTTTATACAATGTCTCAGTTTCCCTTAACTTTGCACACAAGCTTCTGTGTTGAGTTGAATTGTAACTGCTTTTTGTATTTGGAGAGAGTGTGACTATTGAACTTGAAACCTTTTATTCCGGGCGTCTTGGTAGTTTCTGGTGGGATTAAGCCGGCGAGAGGGAAAATGGGGGAGGGGTGTCTCCTTTCCTTCAGAATATGAAGTTTTTCCCTCTGCTTCCTCTCGAGAGATCTCCCAGGTGCCAGACCTAAAGGTTTTTCCTACAGTGACCCTCTGATTATTTTTACTTGCCCTTGACCCATATGTTTTAACAGGATTTTAACAGACTGCACTTATTAAGAAATGTGTTTCCCCTGTTTTGTTTTGTTTTCTTTCAATAAATGAGATGGCACCTCCTAGCAGGAAGGAATAAGGGTTGAAACCTTGAAGTGCAATTGGCCTTTAATTGGGGTGAGGGACCTTTTCAAGGGGACATTATTTACCATTCATTAAACATTTATTGAGGGATTCATGCCTAGCCCCATTTTTGGTGCTGGGGATGCCACCTTAAACCTGGGGCCCTCAGTTTAAAACCCACTAGTTCGTTTTTGAAGTGGTTCTCTGGTCCCTGCCCTTTCCAGTCCACTCAGTCCCAAATCTCCAAGAATTTGTTTAGAAGGTATGGAACCAGATCCCTTGGTATGGAGGGTAAGTATGGCTAATAGGGGGAGACCAGGACTGGACTCGGGTCATCACTGGGTATCACTGCTCATCCACCTCAGGCCTGGCCTGTGAGCTGGACTTATGATAGTTCCTGCCTGTGTGTCTGGGTCCAGTGGGGATTACAGGAGCTTTATCCAGCCAATAGGTTAGGAACTTGCTCTGTTCCTCACTGGGCCTGGATGGTGCTGAGAGACACAGTATGGCCAAGGCAACCCTGAACCCTGCCCATCCAGGGCTCCCAGGCCGCAAGTAACACGGACCTGTCATCAAATGGTGATAGCACCTAGTGGTTAGCTATGAGAGCCTAGGGTGGTGGTGGTGGTGGTGGTGGTGGTGGTGAGGGCTTCCTAGAGAAGGGAAAATATTTTTTTTAAATATATTTTATTGATTTATTATAGAGAGGAAGGGAGAGGGATAGAGAGCTAGAAACATTGATGAGAGAGAAACATCAATCAGCTGCCTCCTGCACACCCCCTACTGGGGATGTGCCCACAACCACAACTGAGGTACATGCCCTTGACCGGAATCAAACCTGGGACCCTTCAGTCCGCAGGCCGGCGCTCTATCCACTGAGCCAAACCAGTCAGGGCAAGGAAAATATTTTAAAATAGGAGTGAGCCAGGTTAAAGGACATTCTGATTGCATTCCCACAGCCCATCATCCCCAGCAGTTTGAGTCATTTCTTCATTCCCTCTGGACAGCCTGTGTTCCTGGCCCTTTGTGAGGGGCAATGCTGGAGCACAGGAATAGCCAGTTCAGCTCCATCCCTTCCCTCACAGGAAGTATCTCAGCGTGTGGAAGGGACACAGGCTACAAAAAGGAGAAAGGCCAAATCGTTTTGAGGTCAGGGTGGGACATCTAAACATAAGGAGCGGAAGTTGGTGGCTAGTTAGACTAAAAGACGCTAGAGTAAGTGCCCACTCTCCCTGCTAAGCAAGGGCCTCTAGCCTGGGAATTCTTACCAACTCTGGTCTATGTGTTGAGCAACAGCTCCCTCTGCTGGCCTCAATACATTTAAGTGTAGTATCTATCTATCTGTGTGGGATATGTGCTGGGAATGCAAACTGCTCCTGGCCAGTGTCTAGATAACTGCACCAGCCTCCTCACAGATCTCCCTTCCCCTGAAACCCCTTGCCCTATCCCCACAGGATATAAAGGAGCTCAAGCTACTTAATATGGCTTATGAGGCCCCATACCTGGCCCCTGGTGACCTCACCGTCTTCATCTTTTGCTGCTCCCCCTTTGCACTTCAGATAAGTGATTTGGGGGGAGTCAAGTCCCTTGAATCTATAAATGCCATGATCCAAATTCACATGTATGTGGAATTTTGCATAAAGATACATGAGGTTCTCAATTCTCTGCCGCCCAATCAAGGCCTTCAAGTTAGAACTTATTCCCATTCCATATGAAGCCTTTACAGCAACCAGAACTATCCATGTGTGTGCTCTCTAGATCTTTGGCTTCTCCCATCCCCCTACCTAAACCCTTCCCTACCGCCCTTCCTCTTGTCCTAAATCATCTTTCAGGTCTCAACTGGGGCATCTCATCCTCCCAAAAGAAGCCTTCCCTGGGCCTCCAGAATGGGTGGCAGCTCCCTTATCCCCCTCAGTCCATTAGAGCCCTGAACATTCAGGACGGTCACTGGTGACATGTCTACTACCTAAGGCAAAGCAGTTTCCTAAGGCCACGTTTTTCTCCATATCTGCAGATTGTCCCAGCCCTCACCACCCAGCTCATGCTAACCGGAGACCGGGTGTGATGACAGAGCAAGAGACAAGGCTTAGTAAATATTCTTTGAAATGGTGAAAAGAAAAGGAAAGGCTGGCGTTTAAACTAGACCACAAACCCTTTGAGGCCCTGAAGGGTTTCTCATTCAACCGATCATCCATCCCAAAATTAAGCATGCGGGCTTTGGAGTCACTGCCGTGAACAGGTTGAACATCTTCCTCCTGATATACCAGTTCCGTAGCAGTTCAGATTGGAGGTGGGGGGAACCAAGTGTTAGGCCTCTGACACGGGTGGCCTTTTCCTTCCCGGCTACGGAGAGTGAAACCTAAGTGAGACACGCATGCGCATAGAAAGGTCCGCCTTCTGCCCGGAACTTTGGTTCTGGGCGCAGCGGGGCATCGGGACCCCAGCGAGTGTGCTCAGCCGGAAGTGGCCGCTTAGGGCGTGGAGCCGAGTTGACGGTGCGGAGCCTACCTCGGCGGTTAAAAAGCGTAGAAAATCCGGATGGAGGCTGTGGCGGCGGCGTCGGCGACAGCAAGGGAACCTGATGAAGGTGAGGTCAAGGCGGCGGGAGGGGGGGCTGCGAAGGAGGACTCTGTAGACCTGCCCTCGGCCTTACCTGTCCCTTCACCACTTTGTCCAGGTGAACCCCTCTCTTTGCGGGCTGACCTTTACTGTATCCCCTTCCCCGAAATTAACCTCTAACAAGTTCCAGGCCAGCCTTTTCCATGTCCCGGTTCCTCCTGGCTAACTCCCGGGTTAACTAACGGGAACCTCTCCCCTGCCCCGGGCTTACTCTACCTGTATCTCAGCCAACCCTGTTTCTCCAATTACCTCCTTCATTTTGTGTAACTGAGGCTTCCCTTTCCCCAGACTAACCCTCCTCCTGCCCCATGCAAACTCTGCTTATCTCAGACCAACGGTTTCCTCCGTCTCATTCTAATTCTTCCCCCAAAGTTCTCAGCCCTATCTGCCACCTCAGGGTGCTTGCTGGTAGTCCATTTCTGTGCTCCCCCGGGTCTCTCTCTATAGCACTTTTAATCTATTTCTCCTGATGCCTTCTCGTAAGTATCTAACATGCTTTTGTTTGCTCGACTTAAAATTCCATCCCCTGCTTCAAAGTAATCCCATGTGGGGTGAAGTGTGGCTGGGAGGCTGAAACATCACTGGCCAGAAATTGATCATTGTTGAAGCTGGATTATTGGGGGCGGGGGGGGGGGGGTACTCTCTATTTTTGTGCATGTTTGAAATTTTCCATAATAAAAAAAAAATGTTTTAACCTAAAGAGAAAATCTATCCCTTGATCCCATGCTACCTTCCAGAAACCATGTTATCTTTTCCAAAGAGTCACCCATCCTTGTTTCCATCTCCCCATCTCCCACCCACTGCAGTCTGGCTTTTACCTTCAGGAACTGCTCTGGTTAGGGTCCCCAGTGACCTCCCTGTGTCACCCCATTCAGTGTTTTTCTTATTAGACGACATGGAGAACACAGTGCTATTGGCCCCTCCGTCCTTCTTTAAGGTTTTCCCTTGGTTTCTCCGACACCCCTCTTTCCGATTTCCTTCCTGTCGAGCTCAGCCTCTAGTATTTGTTTCCCAAGACTGCTGTAGCAAATTACCACAAACTGGATGGCTTTAAACAACAGAAATTTATTCTCTCACAGCTCTGGAGGCCAGAGTCTGAAATCAGTATCACTGGGCAGATATCTAGGTGTCAGCAAGACAGTGGGGGGCACCCTCAGAGGCTCTAAGGGAGAGCCCATTCCTTGCCTTTTCCGCCTTTTGGCGGTTCCTGTCATTCCTTGATTGTGGCCACATCACTCCAACCCCTGCTTCCATCTGTCTTCACATTGTCATCTCCTCCATGTATGTCAGATCTTATAGGACACTTGTGATGGCTTTTATTTTTTTTTTTTAAATATATTTTATTGATTTTTCACAGAGAGGAAGGGAGAGAGATAGAGAGTCAGAAACATCGATGAGAGAGAAACATCGATCAGCTGCCCCCTGCACATCTCCCACTGGGGATGTGCCCGCAACCCAGGTACACGCCCCTGACCGGAATCGAACCCGGGACCCTTCAGTCCGCAGCCCGACGCTCTATCCACTGAGCCAAACCGGTTTCGGCTTGTGATGGCTTTTAGAGCCCACCTGGATAATGCAAGATACTCTCCCCATCTCGAGATGCTTAACTTAATCACATCTATAGAGACCCTTTTGTTGCTATTGTCGTTGGCTATACAAGGTAACATTAACAAGTTCCAGGAACTAAGACATGGCTATCTTTTTGGAGACCATTTTTTTAGAAGTCTTTCACAGGCATATCTTCTCCCCATCCAATTAGGGCTCTTTCCTAGCCCTTCGTTTCTCATCTTCACACATGTCCCCTCCCCTGCCCTCCCCATGACCTCTAATTTCTTTCAGCTTTAATTGTCTTGACTCTGTAACCCCCACAACTCTGTCCCCAGCCCAACACTTCTCTCTGAGAAGTCTCTAGCCCCATGTACTAATGGTCTCTAAAATGCCCCTTGGACGTCCCCTGGTTCCCTCTTACCTTCCATGTCCTGAACTGGCGTCAGCATCTTCCCTCAAACCTGCTCGTCCATGTCTTTGTCTCAGACACAGTTTGACTAGTTCAAGGGCAAGAGCTCTGGATCTTAATTGGATACCTCCCTTACCTCCCAGCCCTTCAGCCCCATGGCTTATGTACTTGGCCTCCCAGATATCTTTTTTTTTTTTAATATATATTTTTAATTAATTTCAGAGAAGAAGGGAGAGGAATAGAGAGATAGAAACATCAATGATGAGAGAGAGTCATTAATCGGCTGCCTCCTGCATGTCCCCCACTGGGGATTGAGCCCAAAACCCAGGAATGTGCCCTGACTGGGAACTGAACTGTGACCTCCTGGTTCATAGGTAAACACAACCACTGAGCCATGCCGGCCGGGCCCCAGACATCTTTCTAACCACCACTCCTCTTGTCCCTTCCTCCACAGCACCTGCTCTGGTCTAGCTCAGCTTTTAAAAAAAATTTTTTTGTGCTTAAATCTTCCCGTGTCCGGCTGGCATGGCTCAGTGATTGAGTGTCGACCTATGAACCAGGAGGTCACAGTTCAGTTCCCAGTCAGGGCACATTCCTGGGTTTTGGGCTCAATCCCCAGTGGGGGACATGCAGGAGGCGGCCAGTTGATGATTCCCTCTCATCATTGATGTTTCTATCTCTCTCTCCCTCTCCCTTCCTCTCTGAAATCAATAAAAATATATATTTTTTAAAAACCTGAAACCCATGTACCTGTAATCATTACCCCCTTAGTCTTCTCCATCCCAGCTAAGCTACCTAAAGGAGTTGTCTATACTTTCTTTTTTAAAATATATTTTTATTGATTTCAAAGAGGACGAGAGAGAGAGAAACATCAATGATGAGAGAAAATCATTGATCAGGGCTAGAGCCCACAACCCGGGCATGTGTTCTTAATCAGAATTGAACCCAGGACCCTTCAGTCTGCAGGCCAGTGCTCTATCCACTGAGCCGAACCGGCTAGGGCTATACTTTCTTTTTTTTTTTTTTTTAAAGAATAGTTTATTGATTTTTAGAGAGAGAGGAAGGGAGAAGAGAGAAACGTCCATGTGAGAGCGTAATATCAGTAAGCTGCCTCCTGCACACCCCTCACCGTTTTGGTGCACAGGACAACAACACCCAACCAACTGAGCCACACCAGCCAGGGCAAGGAGTTGTCTATACTTTCTGTCTGTACTTAGCTCCTGCTTGCTGCAGCCTAGCTCTCAGCTTTCCACTTTCCAGGGCCTGTATTGTCTTTGATCTTGCCTATTCCTCCATCAACTGGGTGCTTCATGAGGGCAGGAGCTGGCTTGGATTCCTCCTGTGGCTCCTCAGCATTACTCAGTTCAGGGCCTTGAATAGCTTTAGAGTTGCTAAAGAATGGTTTGGAAGAGAATGAATGAGTGAGTGAACAAGTTAGTGAATGTATTACATTTTGTGAACAAACGAAAAGGCAAAGAATTGAGTGAATCGGTGAACGAAGTGGTAAAGGACCAAGTAACTACACCAAACACTCCTGCCTCAGGGCCTTTGCACTGGCTGTTCCCTCTGTCTGAAACTCTTCTCCCCCAGAAATGTCATGGTTCAGTTCCTCACCACCCCAGGTCTCTACTGAAATGTCACTTTTTAGGCAAGCTTTCTCTGTCTTAAAATTGCAGCTTTTCCCCCTCCCTGTCCCCCATTTTCTCCTTTCCTCTGAATTTTTTTGCATAACTCTTAAACCACCTAACTGTATGTTTTCTAACACACTATATGTTTTTAGTAAATGTTTTTGATTATCTGTGTCTCCCACTGAAATGTCAACTTCTTGTTTATTGTGGTATTTCTAGGGCCTAACACAGTGCCCAAATTATAGTAGGTGCTCAATAAATGTGAAGTGAGTGAGGGACTGAGCACCCAGTCCCTCCTACTCACCCCCACTCCCATTCCAGACTAAGAAATCTCCCCTCTACCCACAGGCTGCACAGAGCCCACTTCTGGGCACTGGGGGGAGCTGAGCTGGATGCCAGTCCCATCCAGACCCGTGGACAAGGTGGAAGCAGCAGAGGGCGTTCCAAAGGCCCTGGGCAATGACGCCTCTGGGACTGAGAATGCAGCAGTGAGTGCTATGCTGCATGCCGTGGCTGCCAGCCACCTGCCTGTATGCAGCCAGCAGCAAGGAGAGCCTGACCTGACGGAGCAGGAGAAGGTGGCCATCCTGGGCCAGCTGTATCACGAAAAGCCACTGGTGTTTCTAGAGCGTTTCCGCACAGGCCTCCGCGAGGAGCACCTGGCCTGCTTTGGCCACCTACGTGGTGATCACCGTGCAGACTTCTACTGTGCGGAGGTAGCCCGGCAGGGCACCGCTCGGCCCCGCACCCTACGTACACGCCTGCGTAACCGGCGCTACGCTGCCCTGCGTGAGCTCATCCAAGGTGTGGGGGCAGGTGGACTGGACAGGAGGGGAAAGAGAGGTAGAGCTAATAAGAAGGATGCAAGAGCAGAAACAGACAGAGATCCTGGGAGACAAGTGCTGAGCCAGGGATTCAGGGAGAGACAGACAAATGTGAAGTGACAGGGTGACATTAGGAAGATTACACAAATAGGGACCCAGGGAAAGAGAATGGGAATGACCAAAGTACCATTTCAGATCTGTGAACCGAGGACACAGTGCCTAGAGCCGTGATAACTGGTTATCTGTCAGGAAAATTAGAACCCTCCCTCACACCGAACACAAAGGCATTGCTGGAAACCTGGGGGAGTGTGTTTATGACCCTGAGGACATAAAGGCACACGTGAATGAAAAGCATGAAGGAAAACATCAATCAATACCTGTTTGACCATGACATGACAAGTGTTTTTGTGACCAAAGACACCAGAACTAAAGGTAAAAGATGAGAGCAAATGAAGCAGAGAAAGTGAAGTTTCTTGTTAGGGAAAAGGCATGGGCTGAGGGAAATGAAAGAGTGGGACACAGCAACAGGTGAGCAAGATGAAAACAGGAGAGTGAATGGGGGGCTGGATGACAGAAACTGAGGTCAGAGAAGGAGAGGGTGACTGAGAGCCAGGAAAAAGAAGGGAGAGAAACAGAATCTGGTGGGAAATACAAAAGCTGGGGGTAAGAGAGGGCAAGATGGGAGGCAGGACAGGGATGGTCACGCTCAGGTGCTCCAGAGGCCAGGATTCAGGCAGATTCCCACCCTGGGCTCTGAAAGTAGGGCAGGAGGGACCAGGCTCCGTTTAACTGTCAACTGAGGCACAGAACTGCCCCTGTAGGAACAGGCAGCCAGGAGAGATGCAGAGGACCCGGGTTTAGGGTGCTAGGGATGCCAGGCCCACCTGGGGGGTGGCTGCAGAGAGGAGCACTAGGGAGAGCTGGGGTCTGGAAGACCACCAGGAAAACCACACCTGGGCAGAGGCCCTGTTCTACCTGCTCCTGTGCGCACATATGCCAGCTCCCATAGACATACACTTAGGTGTCCAGATGTGTGCGCCAATAGCCAGAATGGGGCTCAGTGGACAGGCACACAGCCTATAGACTGCGCATACATCTGCCTGCAATATCTGCACACTTTAGTCACACAGGTACCTGTGGCAGTGTGTGGACACCCACGGGAGGATGTGGGCAGGGGATTGTGAGTCCTGCCCTGGCATCTTGTCCACAGGCCGCCAGTGCCTCAGGGACAGGATATTCATGGGCCTTACTGTGCAGACACATGTTTGGACACATGAGTAGGCATGCAGATATAGGCCTGGTCACACAAATGTGCTCAGATGCATGCATGAATACTGGTGGCCACGGGACCTCAGGCATCTGCATATTTTCCTACATATTTGAATGTGTGCACACTTGCACTTGTGTGTTCATGTCTTCCTACCAGCATGATCACACACACATGCATGGACACATGTCTGCTCAGATACCCTCACCCTGCACGCAGCCCCTAGCCCCGCCCATAGGCTCCTGACCCCACTCTGTCTCCTCTGTGCAGGGGGCGAGTACTTCAGTGACGAGCAGATGCGGTTCCGGGCTCCACTGCTGTATGAGCAGTACATCGGGCAGTACTTAACCCAGGAGGAGCTCAGTGCCCGCACCCCAGCCCACCAGCCACCCAAGCCCGGCTCCCCCGGCACACCCCCTTGCCCACTCTCCGACCTGCTGCTGCAATCCTACCAGGAACAGGAGCTGCAGCAACGGCTGCTCCAGCAGCAGGAGGAGGAGGAGGCCTGCCTGGAGGAGGAGGAAGAAGAGGAAGAGGACAGTGACAAGGAAGGTGAGGACCAGCAGCAGGGGAGCCCCAGTATCTGGACTCCACAGTCCTGGGCCTGCGTATCTCCTCAGTCCATGGCACCAGGCTGGGCCCCACCTGCAGGAGTAGACATTGAGTCCCTGTCCTGCCTGACCCAAGAGCCCTGTGTGCCCTAGCTCTTCCCGACCTCTCCAGCATCTCTGCCCCCAATCCTCAAAAGCACCAAGCAATCCCTCGCCGCCAGGCCTTTGCTCATGATGTTCCCTCTACCGGGAATGCCTTCCCTTCACCACCCTCAGGTGTCTAGTCTTGACCCTATTCTGCAGCCCGTGGAGCACTGGTTGTCATGTGCTTGGTGTGTGCTCCAGGAGGGCAGGGACTGCAGGCTTTCTGGTCACTGTTATGTTCCCAGTGCCACCCAGCACAAAGGATGCAGCTCTCTGAACTATGTTCAGCACCTACCCGAGTGTCCCCCTCACACTCCCACACTGTGGGTGTCTCCCCCGCAGACCAGAGCCCTGGCAAAGATTCGGAGACCTGGGTTCCCGACTCCGAGGAGAGGCTGATCCTGCGGGAAGAGTTCACCAGCCGGATGCACCAGCGCTTCCTGGACGGCAAGGACGGGGACTTTGACTACAGGTGCTTCATGCCTCTACCTCCTCGTCCCCCAACCCAGCACCCTATAGCCCTCAGCTGCATGCCAGGTCCCAGGCATCTCCATGGAGGGCCTCCGTGGTGCTAGAAGGCCCCAGAACAGTTCCAGGCAATGGGCCCTGGGGTCAGACAGCCTCCGGGTTTCAGATCAACCAAAGATCAGTGGGTGACCTTGGACTAGCTTTGTCCATCTGAGAGCCTCGATCCTCTCCCCAAATGTAAGGAGGGAATGAGCAGGGCTGACATTCAACTCAATATTGATAAGATATTGAAACATTTTCACTTGGTGGCCTGGCAGGATGCCACTACCCCAGGCCTCCCAAATGTCCCCCGGAACCCCACACCTCATGCTGCAGGAAGTAATCCCTGGCAAAGCTAATGTGTAGTGGGAGGGGCCTGTGGTGGGGGCCCTGCAGTGTTGGTGGGTAATTTCTCCAGTATAACCTCAGGGCCAAGATGCATGGGCCACCTGCTTTGAAAAGGATTTTACTATCGGGGAGAAGGACGCAGGAGAGTGAACTATCAAAATCAAAGATAAGTGGTTTGTCCACTGAGGCAATCTGGCTTGTGGTCCTGAACACCGGCATGGCAGCAGAGGGCTCTGGTTTCAAACACAACTCTAATGCAGTGTGAACAAGCAGACCTTTGGGGGCACGTCAGCTGAATGGGGATCATAACAGCCACTGGCCCAATCTGGACACCCTGGCTCTGGAGTCAGGTCCAGGTGGTCACTTCCAGCCTGGACCAGCCTTGCAGCCTGAATGTCCACAGAGTGAGGGAGGGAGCCCTCAGTGAGGGCACCATTGCTGCCATAAAACCCACAAGGAATCCAGGCCTGGCGTGAGGAATGAGGAATGATGGAGACGAAGCCTGTCCCCTCTCCAGAGGCCACTGCTGGGCAGCAGGGCCACATGGTCCCTCATGGTGTTCAGCCACCTCGTGCCGAGTGCCTGCTGTGTCCAGGCTTGGGATAAAGCAGGAAACACAACCGATGAGAGGATTCCCAGCCCTGAAGGAGGTCCCACTGTAGTGAGGAAAAGAAGCATCAAGCGTTTGGTGGTGATGGGCCATGAAGAAAAGGTGGGGATGCGGGGAGACAAGGTGGCCAGGAAAGGCTCTCTGAGTAGATACCTACAGGAAGTGAAGGGTGAGTGACAGATATCTGGGGGAAGGGCCCTAGGGTGGCACGGAAGAATAGCAAGGCTGCCCGAGTGGCAGGAGGGAGGGCAGAATGGACAGGGCTTTCTGCACAAAGGGAGCTTGATGGGAACTGAGGGAGGATTTGGAGTGGAGTCCGGCTCCTCACATTTTAGGATCACTTGTCACTTTAATGCAGTTTCTGGGCCTCAGAACTCATGGTCTTGGGACAGCATAATTCTTTGTGAGCGGGGCCTATCCTAGTGCACCAGAACGCTGAGTAGTACCCTGGCCTCCACCCACTAGGTGCCAGTAGCAGCTCCCCAGTTGTGACAACCAAATGTCTCCGGTTATCACCGGATGTCATCTGAGGGGACACAGCCTTCCAGGCTGAGAACCACTGCCTTGGGAATGTGGGCCCCAGTGTCACCATATCACATCTTCCAGCTTTTTAAGAGAAACCAGAAGTTTTTATGTAAAATCTCTGATTTGGAAAATACTGCCTTTTGTTTGAAGCCCTGAGAGACCCAGCATCCCCCTCCAAAGGGGTTAGCTGAAACGAAGAGCTGCCAGCATACGGCCTTTGACCTCACAGGGCCAAGCCATTTCCCCAGCTTCCCCAAAGGGTGGGGTCTGGGCCCAGGCAGAGCCAGCCTCTGACACCCCTCTCCTCCCTCTGCAGCGCCGTGGATGATAACCCCGACTTCGACAACCTGGACATTGTGGCCCGGGATGAGGAAGAGAGGTACTTTGATGAGGAGGAGCCTGAGGATGCACCTAGCCCGGAGCTAGACGGGGACTGATGGCCCAGCCACCCGCCCTGTCCACCCCCCCACCCCCCAAACAAGGCAGCTGATCAGTGGCTGGCTCAGAGACTTTCTTCAGGGACCCCAGTGAAGCTGCCTCAGAGGGTCTGGTCCCATCTCAGACTGCCCCTCCCGCTGTGTCTGCAGTTCCCCCCAACCCAACCCTGCTTCATTGCTGTTTCTCTGGGTTTCTTTCTCTGTCTTTGGTCTCTTTTTCTCCCTGCCTTTCTGTCTCCCTCTCTCCACCTCAGTCTCTTTCCTCTCTGCCTTTCTGTTTCTCCTCCTCATTCTGTGCCTTGGCCTCTGTCACCACAACAGGGCGAACATCCTTCCCTTGACCAAGTCCAGCAGGGCCCTTTGTAGCTAGAGCCAGCCAAGTCGACACCAGTGCCCAACTTGGGGTCGGGCTGATCCCTGGGCCCCAGAGCAGCTCGCTATCTCCCCTCCTGGTCCCTACTCTGTTATTCACCTGTCCCATTTGTCAAGCTCTCCTTGCCTCTATATGTTCCCTTCTCTCCTTCGGCCTTGTGGGCCTGTGGTTCTTCCTGCCAGTCCGTTTCCATCTCTCAGCCTTTATCTCTGGGTTTCAGTGCCATCCCCAGTCTGGCTGCTGAGTGTGGCCTCACTGCAGGCAGGGGGAGAGCACAGAGGTGTCCACAGCCATCACCGCTCCACTGGGACCCAGCCCTGGGAGGGATGGGCAGGGGAAGCACTGGGTATCATGGGCCTGCCAGCTTGGGAGTGGGGGAGGGGCACTCTCCCCTCCCAGCCCACAGCCCCCCTCTGCCCAGCCACAATTTTCCCTTTCTTCACTTCCTCTGCCTCTCTCTCCCTCTTGTTTACACTCCCCAAATACGCACAGGCTGTTATCATGGGTCCTGAGTCATCCCACACACACAGGCTGCCCCTCGTCTCTGCCCCCAGCCAGCCACAGGCCCGCCCCACAGAGCCCCCTGCCTCCCCGGCTAATGGGAGCCAGATGGCCGCCTGGTGACTCAGCCACCGGCCTGTGGGAACCCAGGCATCCCGCCTTCCCATGCCCCCACACCCAGCTCATGCTCCCCCAGTAGACACATGGAAAAGGGCCGTCTGCTGGAGGAGAGCATGGCCACGGGTCAGGGAGGTGGGGCCTGGGGCCTCTCAGCCCTGTGCACAGGAGTAGCGGCATCCTTCCACAGCCAAACCTAAAGACCCTTCAAGCTGCCTCTTGGGGCATGTAGTCCAGAGTGAGCAGAGGCCTTGAGGCCTCCTAGGGCCATGACTGGACCCCCAGGCCTTAGCTCTGCCCTCTGGGTCAGCCAGAATTAGAGCCAGACACAGAAAGTGAGAGCTGGATGGGCACGGAGGGACATTCAGGCTGTTCAATGAGAAAAAAAAAAAGGAAAGTTCTGGTTTCTGAGCAGTTCTATCCTGTGCCAGGCCCGAGCCAGGTGCTTGACACTGCGCTGAATCCTCCAGACATCGCTGCGAACTAGGGACTCAACTCATAGACCGGGCAAGGGAGGCCCAGGAAGGAGGGCGGCCTTCAGAGGTGAAAAGGCAGGTCTAGAACCACAAGTCCTAGAGAGCTCTACTGGCCTGCGGTCAGCTATCGGCACTCAGAGTGGACAAATGCACAGACGTCCTCACATGGGAAGACGAGAAGACTTAGCTGTTGATGATGATAGCAGCTAAGCTTTGGGCGCCTCTTCGGCACCAGGCACCGTCCTCCACACAGACTTGACTGAATCATCTTGACAGAGAAGCCAGTATTTGAATCCCAACCATCACGGTCCTGTGCGCCTCTTGCTATCAGTACTGATAATCCACCTCCCGGAGGAGGCCCAGGGTCATCCAGGCAGCTGACTCACAGGAGAGACGTGTGTCCTGGCACCTGTGCTTATGCCCTCAGGTTGTGAGCACACTCCTACTCCAGGCATCAGCCCTTAGTGCACATTTTTCACCATTCGATCATTAAATTTGTGGTATACTGTGCCGTACATAAATTTTTTTTTTAAGTGAACACTATTGAATAGGAATTAGGGTGAGTCAGATGGTGGGAGAACAGCGTGTGTAGCTGAGGTGGAGGTGGAGCTAGTCAAGAGGAATGGAGAGACACTTCCCAAAGGTCACGGCCTCTGTGCTGAGACCTGGAGGTGCCCCAGTGGCCTGGCCCTGGCCCTGGCTCCCAGGTCTGGGGTTGGGGTGGGTGGAGAGGCTGAGTCAGGAAGGGAGGGCCCTGCTGGGGGAGAGTCTCTCAGTGCACATCCGGCCCCCACCCCCAGTCTCCTGTCTGTCCTGGCTGCCACCCCCACGTCTGACACCTCTGTGCGTCCTGCCAAAGCTGACATGGACTCCACGAGCCTCTAATGCCTGCCTGCTCTGTCCTTTGTCCTGCTTCTCTCCCTCTACCCCCCACCCTCCTCTCTATTGCCCTTTCATTCTGTCTCTGCACCTCTCTGGCTGTCATTGTCTACCCTTTCTTCCTCGTTCTTCCTGGGCGGCTGCCTCCTTTCTCTCCCTCATCACTCCCTGAGCTTCCCTCACTGTCTCATGTCCCCATTTCCCCTGCCTTTCTGTTGGGGCCTCCCCTCCCTGTGTCACTCCTGCTTGTTTGCCCTCATGTTTTCCTATCCCTCTCCCTGCTGTCTTGGCCAGCCCCCATCATATCCATCTCAATCTCTGTCCTCTCTTCTCTGGCTCCCAAACCCTGGAAGCCCAGAGAAGAGATCCAGGTTAGAGGTTCACTGGTGGCTCCTGGGAGCCCAGAATGAGGGGTCACCTCCACCCAGAAAGGGGGTGGGAAGGGCAGTGAGGTTGCAGCCTGTCTGGCCAGAAGGAAGTGTCTATGCTGTGGCCTGGTCACCCCCCCCTCCACTGGCCCCCAGGACCTGCTGGGCTGCCACCACCCCCGGGCTGGGACAGAGTAAACACTGCCGCCGGCAGCCGGGATATTTATACCAAGGGCTGGGCGCAGGTCCAGTGCCCACCGCAGCCCCTGCCCTGCCCTGCCCGCCACAGCCAGCCCCGAGCCAGCGTGGCACCAGCCGGCGAGGGGACATACCGCAGAAGCAGCCTCCACTCAGCCCGGAGGCCACTGGGCTTGTTGCCCAGGATGCCAGCAACTTCACTGAGGACGCACAATTCCCCCTCCCCTGGAGACAGCAGCACAAAATGCTCGTGAACATGAACACACATACACACCCCACTGAGAGCTCAAAATGCCCTGAAAGGCCGATGCAAAATAGAAACCTACACAACTGCTCACACACTGAAGCCACCAGCCCACATGTGGGACAACACAGACACCACCTGCTCAGACACCCACAGAGGCTGAAAACACCAGTCCCCACGATGGGCGCGAACACACACACACACCCCGGAAAACGACAGCAAGCATGCTGGAGACACACCCGCGGACACACAAACATGCTCAGAACACCAGCGGCGCACACACTGGTCACAAAGTATAACCCAGAAACATCTTGCCCAGACACTGGGAACTGTCACACACACACATTGAAAACACTGCTCATGTGTGAGAAACAAAATACACACCACCTCTGGAAACACATCTTTCTCCCAGGCCCATAAACATATACACAAAATATCCACATTTCAAGTCAAAATTACACTGAAGATACACAAACTCACCTGGAGGAAAACAGCAAAGATGCTAAGAAAAAAATTCAGACACATAACACGCCCCAGGCATATGACCTATTGTAACAGAGACCTCCCAAATCACACGTGTCAGGACACAGCCCAGAGAGCACACCGACTTGTACAGCAACAACACACACCAGGAACACAGCAGTCACCGCACATGGAGCTTAACGCATGCTGGGAATACACACACACTGAAAATCCCCACACAGCCTGTGGGCACCCAGCTGGTATGTTAAGACCCCTATGCTAGACACATAAAACTCACACCACAAAACTTGGGGACACACACACACACACAAAGGTCCTGAACACATTCAAATTCACATTAGAAACACAAAGAGACCAACGCCTGGAATGTCCAGCGATTTAGGGGGCAATGGGCTGTTTGTCTCTTTCTCTTTCTGTTACCCACTGACCCCAGTCCCAGGCCTGTCTGGGGGAGGGGGCAGGAAGGCCTGAGCTGGCCTCCCCTAGCCCAGCTTCCTGCCCTCTGGGGGCTGGATAGGAAGCTGGGGCTTCAGCCGGAACCCAGGCTACCCCCCTTCAACTTTCCTCCCTGAGCCTGGGCTTTGGGGGAGGGGAGGACACCCTGAACCCCGGGTCCTGCCCATGCGGTTAGCTGGGGGCCTGAGCTGCCTTATCCCTACAGGGCCTGGCCACCCCAGCGAGGAGGGTGGGGGCAGGAGCAGAGCTCACGTGGTGAGAAGGTGCTGAGCCCGAAAGTTTTTCTGGCAGCAGGCAGGTGGGCGGGGTGTGTCAAGAGGGCGTGGCCAGGGCTCAGCACTGGGAGTGTGAGTGAATCCCCAGGGTGTAGCCAGGACTTGTTCTGAGGCCCAGGCACGAGCTGGGCTTGTGAGGGCCACGACCCTGGAGATGTGTCTGGGTTTGTGGGACTGCTCTGTCTGGGACCAGACCGGGCTGTGACAGTGTGTCTGGCTATGACGGGTCAGCTGCCTTCTGCAGGGCCACGTGGGACTCCCCAGGCCTGAGTGTGGGGGCCGTGAAATGTCAAACTGAGTGGGCATGACCACCTGGCAGGCAGTGAGACCGTGACGTGTCAGATCTCCGTGTATGGTGTGTGTCTGGGTGGGACTGTGACGAGTCAGGTCGTGTGCCTGTTTGTGACTATGACCCCATCCATAGAGGATGTTTGTGTAAACTGCTGGTGGCCTGTTTCATTTCCTTATTCTGTGAGGTGGGTGGCACAGTCTCTGAATCTGTGTCTGGCGTGTGGTGGTTGTGACTGTGACCCTACAGGATGTATTTGTGTGGGTGTGTTTTGCTGTGTCCCTATTGACATCTCTGCTTGTGCTGGGTCCTAGTGAGGCTCCAGGCTGGGCTATGTAATGGGGTGTCACATGTGGGCTGTGCCTGCTGCCAGGTGTCCTGCAGGAGTTCTGGTGTGTTCATTGTGGGACACTGTCCATGCTTCAACCCCTGTATGTGTGAATGAATGTGTGCACACGTGTGCCACATCCTCAGGGGCCGCAGTGACTTCCATGTCACTGTGTCCTTTCATAGGAGGCCAGTGACAATGGCTGCATTTCCTTGAATAGTGAACTCCTCCTGACCCCACACTACCCAGCCCTCATTGCTCCCAGAACTGTGGCAGGTGGAATAACCACATTGCTACCCTAGGCTGGGCTGGTAGGATCCCAAGGCCCACTCATTCAGACCTAGTGCTGCCCAAACCTCCCCCTCTCCCCGGGCACCTCTGGGCAAAGCAGTAGTTCAGGGCCTGGGACCTGGGAAGGAGGGTAGGGGACAGATGAGGGAATTGAAACCTGGGAGGAGGAGAGGAAACCAAGATGCCGGAGAAAGAGGAAGCAAGGGAGAATTCACAAGCAAGACCACAGCAGAGGGGAAGAAACAAGGCCCAGAGGGAACCCACCCGGCACAGGACACCAGCCTCTCTCACCTGAACCTCTGTTCTTCCTGCAGTCGCCTACGGCTCCATTCAGTCTACTCTCAACCATCAGCCAAAGGGATCTCTAAGCACCGAAGTCAAATCATATCCCATCTCTATACAGAATCTTGTCATGGCTCCCATCACCCCCCAGGTACACATTCTCACAGATTCCCACCTCCCCCAGGGCTGATGTGCTCTGGCAAGCAGTACCAGTGCAGAGACCCTTAACTGCCGCTGCCTGGTTTGAGTGCCAGCTCTGCTGCTTGTGAGCTAACAAGTAACCTCTCTGTGCCACAATATTCCCATCTGTAAGGTGGTCTCTATTGCAGGAATTGGCAAGATTTTTCTATAAGGAGCCCAATAGCAAAGACTTTTGACTTTGCATACAGTTTCTTCTCAACTTCGCCCTTGTAGCACTAAAACAGCCAGAGACATGGCTGTGCTCCAATAAAACTTTATTTACAGAAACAGGCAGCAGGTCAGAATTTGCCTGCAGGCTGTGATTTGCCAACCCCCTGCTCTGCTGCGCTGTGGGGAGAATGCAGTGAGCTGGTCGATTCATACCTGGCATGGAGGATTATCACTCTCTGGCCTATGGGTGTTACCATCTGACTCAGCTCCCAACACCCTTCCCCTTGGCCCTCCTTTCCAACCACACTGGCCTTGTCCCTCCCTCCCTCACCCCAAGTTTATCCTCACTTCCAGGCCTTGCCTTCTGTCCTTCCCAGAACACACTCCCCCTTCCTCCCCTAAGCTGCCTTCAGGTCCCAAAAGCTACCTCCTCCAAGAAATCCTCCCTGTCCCATCTCACACTCCATCCTGCTTTCCTGCCTTCATGCCATTTACAAAGTCTGTCTCTTCCCGGGAAAGTAGGTTCCTGGTGGGCAGGAACGATTCTCTTAACCTCTCTGGTCTTGAGTTTCCTCACCTTTAAAGTGGGCGTTATAAGAATCCCCAGAGCTTGTTACGGTGAGTGAGTGAGTTGATTAACATAAGCACTTAGAACAAGGCCCAAAGTGCTCAATAAATAAATGTAGTGCTTGCCAGCAGTACCTGGAACATAAGAAGTGCTTGGTAAGTGGTAGGAGGGGCAAATGAAAAGTGAAGAGAGAGACAGGAGGCGGCAGATGGAGCTGGAGTCCAGGAACATCGGTAGAGACCCTGTCAGCCAACGACACCGAGACCCCAGTCCTCTCTCCACCTTTAATGGGCCCCGAGGTGGGCTTGGCCGGGAGAAGGGGGGGGTGGGGCCGGTGTCCTTAAATACAGCCCAGCGCGACGGGCAGGGGGAAGGGGAG